TATATATATATATATATCGTCAAAGTGATCAGCAACATTACGATATATAAGTATTCTTAATGTAACTTGGACGAGGACAATAAGGACGATAACAGGAATAATTTTATTGATTATTCAAGCCACCCTGATGATAAATAGTTGTAGTTGATGTACTAAAAGACCGTCTAGTCGTTTCCCTTTGAGTTGTTAACGACTTAGGAAACAAAGCGCCACTGGATATGCTGGATATATATGCATATATATATACCACGATAAAGAATATTGTCATCATTGCCCGTCATCAGTTAAAATGATTTCTGAAGGGTATATTTTGAAATCTAACAAGTCAAAAAAATGGCGGTGTCCATGCGTGAGTTCGAATCCCACAGAGGCTACTAAACTTTTCACAATTGACATACAAACTTCAAATCTGCCAAACAACTATTTAAAACGTTATTGGTCGAATATAAGTGGGTGATTTTTTACTTTCTATCGAACTGGACTCTTCATCAGTTAGCACTAATTACAGTCTTACTGAAATGAAACTATCGTCCATCATTACTGATCGAAGTTTTGTGTGTTGATCGCTTTCAATCACTTTATACATAATTTTGGCATCTTTTTGCTTCTTATTCGTAAAAGTAATATCACAGTGCCCAAAATATAATGACACAATGGTGTATGCTTTTTCATTTGCTGAACACAGAAGTGTGCAGATAAATTGTAAGTCAGGGGTTGCGATCGATCAGAATCCGTTCTTCTGTTTTCTACTAAAAACTCACACTCAGGTCAAAACTAAACAGTCTAAACACGTTGATTTTTCTCTGTGTATGACAGAGTTCACCTTATACTTAAAGATAATGCCTTACCACATGTGGACTTCGATGACACTTGACAGTGGAAGCGGGCTAGTAGGCGGATTCAAAGTGAGTCTGTTAGTGAACTGCCAGAAATAAACGAATGCAACATTTACTCTGGATGTCGTTTTCTAATTTCGGTCTTGGTTGGCCTTTATTTATCAGAATAAATTTTACCGTTTCGTATTCAAGAAAGTGTTTTGAGCACGATCCATTCGGCGACAATGAGTTTTTCCGTAGTCGTGCCTTTTTACCTCGTGTACACTCAAAAGGCCATCCAGGGTAATTCTAGTCGTTTTGAAAAAAATACTTAAAAGCTACAAGTTTCACTTCCTTCTCTAACTGGATTGATCGTTGACTGCCCAATTCATCTGCAGAGACTCACACAACAACACGTGATGGTTATGCAAATTTACATCTCAACCATTCCATTGCCACTGAACGAACAGATCCAAAACGTTATGAATGACAACCTCGATACGAACAACCCAGCTGAGCGATAACCAGTCCTGGTATCAATCAGTAAAATACCATACCTTCCAAAGAGTGATCTCTCATTGTATTAGGGAGGATTGAAGTCAACAAACGCTTTATACACCAAAGGGATAGATTTTCTGTAATATTTTACTGACGATATGCATCCATTCATTGCAATGTGATACAATATACAGTCCGATAATGTCAAAATGGAGGTGAAATTCGCGGATTGACTTTTGCTTCATTTTTGCATATCTCTACCTTCTATCTGGTCAGCTGATTGGGCTGTTCGGGCACAGACAGCTGATCACGTGTCATTCCAGCGGGTACAGCTGATAACACGTATGAATGCTATGCATGGGAATCCAATCGTGTTGTTTGACGGTAAATCGGTCAGTCTATCGGACTAGTTCAGCTGTTTGGTCAAGTGTGAATTATGGGTCAGTGTGGTACTGACAAATATCACATTGGTTTCTGATGTATGTAAGCACGCTTCTGCGCGAGAGAGCTCTCTTTCGGTAAGTCGTGCTCAGGCTCACTTTTATTACGCCTTTGTCTCAGTGTTTGTCCGCATCGGGAAATGAGAATCTGACAACCGGAAACTGCCCTGATCAATGAAACCGCACGGTGATTTTACAACAAATGAAAGTGAATCAGACATTGTGCATGCATCTATGTGACTAGAAACTGAATCCCCCTCTTTACGTAACAATTCCATGTGAATCGATATGAGACTTGTTTGTACAGATGGGAAGAGTACAAATCAGCTTTATCGAACCGGAGCGAATAACTCTTTCATATTGTGTAATAAATATCAAAATTGAGTAAACCTCACAGTCCCAAGGACGTTCTGTGCACTCCTGGTTAGCGGCCATTTAAGCATTACGATTGGCCTGATGTCGAACCCGACGAATG